TCTCTCCGTTCCTCTCCTCTCCTTCCTCCTCTCCTCTCTCTCTCTCCTGCTCACCTTATCATGCCTCTCCTCCCTTCCCTCTCCTCCTCTGCTCTCTCTCCTTGCCTCCCTCTCGCTCTCCTCTCCTCTCGTTCTCTCCTTCTCTCCTTCCTCTCTCTTCCTGCTCCTCCTCTCTCTCCTCTCCTCTCTCTTCGTCCGTCTCCCTCTCCTCTCCTCTCCTCTCCTCTCCTCTCTTCTTTTCTTTTGTAGAGATTGGGGTCTTTCTGTTGCTCAGTCAGGTCTTAAACTTCCTGGCCTCAAGTGATCTTCCCGCCTCAGCCTCTCAAAGTGCTAGGATTACAGGTGTGAGCTACCATGCCCAGCCAATGACCTTATCTTAATAAAGGCATTTGCCCATGCGATCAGCCTGTTGGATGTTTTAAGTGCACACCATGCTACAAGATCTTCCTCATGACCCATTCTGATTCGGGTAGCTCTGTTGCCAAGCTGGTGACCAGGGGTTCAAAAATTTGAACTGTGAAGAAATTATTACTAGTTTTCCTATGATCTTGCAACAGCAAGATATCAATAGCTCTTTCTAGGTAATACATCTTCCAGGATCTCACCTGATGGATACAAAGAGAAGTTGAGAAGATTGTTTGAGCTCAGGAGTCCGAAACCAGCCTGAGCAAGAGTGAGACCCCATCTCTACTAAAAAATATAGAAAGAAATTAATCGGCCAACTAAAAATATATAGAAAAAATTAGCCGGGCATGGTGGTGCATGCCTGTAGTCCCAGCTACTCAGGAGGCTGAGGCAGGGGGATCTCTTGAGCCCAGGAGTTTGAGGTTGCTGTGAGCTAGGCTGCCACAGCACTCTAGCTAGGGCAACAAGAGTGAGACTCTGTCTCCAAAAAAAAAAAAGAAGCTATACAAACCACTCCTAGTGCAACTTGGGGGAGCCACAATGAGTATTAAAAACTTTTCCCTCCAAATATTGGGGATTTGTATTAAGAATGCAGATTCTTGGCCAGGCGCGGTGGCTCACTCCTGTAATCCTAGCACTCTGGGAGGCTGAGGCAGGCAGATTGCTCCAGGTCAGGAGTTCGAAACCAACTTGAGCAAGAGTGAGCCCCTGTCTCTACTATAAATAGAAAGAAATTAATTGGCCAACTAATATATATAGAAAAAATTAGC